TGTTAGCTTGAGTCCCTATACAAAACAAGTTTTTGGATTAAGTCGAAACTGCTCTTTAAATTTTAGGATGTTTAGTAGTTTTGTTTGCAGGTAACTTAGAGACTATGGGTTTTGGCTTGGTATGTGTCAAATCTTGAACTTTTTGATTCTTCTTCTCATGTTTTGTGTTATTTTTTCAAGTCAGTTTCTTGCTTTGTGTATGCCTAGGGGGTTAACCTTTGGTTGTGGATCTTCATCAGTGGTGATATCGAGGAAGAACAAATGATGTGGCAGTCATGCTTTTTCTATCTTTTAGTAGGGAGGGGGCATGATAGGCAGTGACCTGCACGTTCTGTTTCGTTTGGGGAGTCCTTCAAAAAAGCTAAGATATATTCTGACTTTTGAATTATCTTGACATGCTCGCTTTCTTTCCTCTCAGCAAAGAAAGGTTGTTTTGAAACTATGTGATTTTTGACTGGTGGGTAAAGTCATTTGCATTGGGGAGGGTGTAGAACATTTTTTTGTTCATGTTGAAATTGTGTATTCATGGGATTCTATCATCATGCCATATAGAGTTATGTAATCTAAGTGAGGCTAACAATCCTAATTTGGCTGCTATTGTTCTTACGCTTTTTATTATTTTTGTCCTGACGATGTTTACTTTTGCAGGTTGATGCAGAATTTAGGCCCGTGTTTTTTGTTCCTGCAATTGCTGTCTCACTAGAGGATGACATAATAAATCCCAAGACCAAGAATATAAGACTATGAAGAGTGTTCATTTCACATTACTTTGGAGAAGAGCAGGTATAGAATTTGTTCATCTTGCCTAGGAGAGATTCATCATGTCTTCATAGGTTGTGGGTTATCTATATTGAGTAACAATATAATATGTAGACATTTTATTTTGCTTATATCCTTAAACCTTGCAATTACGTTATACATTTAATGAAATATTCTTTTTTAATTGTTATATATGTAGTCAGTGGGGTTTACTGGTTTTGTTGATTTCATTATGTTATTAAATTGAATATGCAGGTTATAGGAGACAGTGAAAGCATAAGGAAAAATGTATTTAGTTATTAATATCGTATTGAGTTGAATACTGCAGCTTTGCAAGCGAGAAAAAGCAATATGATCATCAATAGTAATGGTAGCAAACCTGAAAGAAGACAAAATATGGCAATTCTTGACTTATTGGTTATAATGAGAGAGAAACGGTGCTAATAAATTAATGTAAGTAAGGTTTGCGGTGTTTGACTAGCTAGAATATAAAATTGAGGAGCTTTTTGGTCTCCATATCATTTAAACTGTAAGAGGTTTATTTAAGAATATAGATGAAACTCTTTAGACATTGGTTTATCCAAACTCCAAAGATTGATTTCATAGCCTCTGTTATGTCGAATCTAATTTTGTGGCAGGTATTTTTCATTTTCAACTTTATCATGGGCTGAAAGTATGCATTAAATGCCATTTACTGATATTAGGTGAGTTTAAATGGGCAAACGAAGGGCCATGGATTGTTGCTAATAAGGTTCGGCCAAACCTTGAAGGCTGTGGTGAAGAAGTGCAGTAACTTTCATTTTCCTTAAACTGACAATTCCAATCTAATATATGTATAATGGGGATTTTTCACACTCAAATAAAATGTAAGAGAATTATGTGTAATTTAGCCTTTTTACAAAGATTGTTCAACGCTCACTCTTGATACTACTCCTGGATATAATGATGGTTTGCATAATGGTGGTAATGCATTAACATTTTCAACACTAAGGGTTTGTATTTGAAGCAGACAAGTAGGCACTTTTAAAGGAAACATTATATATCTGACTTTGTGCAAGCTCAACAGATTAACTCATAATGTGATAGCTGAAATAGCATACACAATATATGTTATATCACGTATCAGCTATTACTCCATCTAGCTATGAGCCAAATTATTTCAGGAGAAATGCGTGGATATGGTCCATTATAAAGGATTCCATTTTGGATTTATATAAAAGCCTCCCTTAGCCTAAGATCAAACTTACTTTAAACTAATGATAGTTAGGAGCAGTTGGTCCACCTTAAGTCATCATGTACATTCTTGCCTGTTATATGATTGTGAAAACCGATAACCCAACGCGCGGAAGTATTTAGTCAACGTAGAGGAAGCATTTCTTTTTTTTTTTTTGGTAAGTGACAATTCTTTTTAACTTAAGTGAATCATGCTCAATTTAGCCTTTTTTATAAATATTGTTCAATGTTCAATCTTAGTACTACTCCTATACATGTGCTTATCAATATGGTCAGTATTTAAAGTTTATTAATATTAATATACCAATGTACATAACTCTTAATAGTCTAACTCATCATATGAAAATTTGTTTGCATGCATACTCGACTTTCGAGAAAAAATAATTTCCCTTGTAAGTAGGGTGACCGGTAAGGTAAACTTCAAGTTGGTTTCATTTATAACTTCATTTGCTGTCACGTGTCACAGTGAGTTAGTGGGCAATTTCCTAATACATGGGGATTGTTGACCAACAAAACTTCAGCATAATTTGTTATACTAAGCTAAGTTACACAAGTTTTTATGCTAGACTTTTACCTTAAGAAGAACCCATGGATAACATTTTGCTGTTCAAGCAAGTGCATACCCATTTTTACAAGAATCTGGTGCCTTTTAACAAAAGAACTTATTCAGAGCTTTCTGCTCCTTTAACTAATTATGGAACGAATGTCCAGTTGAATGGAGAGGAAGAAGCAACAGGGAATAGGACTACTGCTGCAATCAAGGTAGGCATTATACGATTTTATGATAGTATATGCATGCTACTTTGCTGTTATTGTTGGTGTAGGAATCGCTTTGATGCTTCTGCCACTATCAGAAAGCCCTCCCTACTCTTCCAGTATCAGTAATATTGGGGGTGTTGTACTCCCTACTCTTCCAGTATCAGTAATATTGGGGGTGTTGTTTTATTTTTTGACCAGCTCTTAGCTCGTGGTATTTGTGCTACAATGCTCCTTCAATCTTTTGATGCTTTAAATTTAACTGTAGTATTTGGATTTGGAAGTTGACTATCAAATATATTTTATTAGTTCATGAATATATACTGCATTTAAAATTATGTGTTTGACATCATATCTCTGGTTAAAAACCTTTAAGCAGTATTTTTTTTTTTAACTTTCTTTGTCTTTCATAACTAATTAGTTCCCCAATGATTGGAAAATATCTTGAGCATAGCATGTTTAGGGTCTGTTTTACCATAGCTTTTTTTTTTTTTAAAAAAAAAAGTATTTTCATTGTGTAACTTTCGAAGTTAGATTAATATGATCAACGTTGGAAATTGGCTTACTGACGCCTAAACAAAACATATAAAACAATCTTTGAAACACATCGGATAAATAATTTCTATTGAAATAGCAATAATTTTATAAACCATTTGTTTATGATAATATTCTACTCCTGATAGGAAAGTAAATGATTAGAGAATGCAGATACAATAGCATATGTACTAGGATCCACAGGAAGTGAAGTTTTTTTTTCTTTTTGGTAAGGTCGGGAAGTGAACCTTTTTTTCTTTTGGACAAGGTCGAGAAGTGAACGTTAAACTGTAAAATGGGATTAAAATGTGATGGTGTAGGGAGTACATAAATTTGGGTTCATTTTACAATACAAAATCAGCATTGTTATATTATTTTATAAATATGGTCTATTATTATAAATGTGGTCTATTGTTATTCTCAATTCAATAAAAATTGAAATTGTTGATGATGGGGTCAAATGAATTGAAAATTTCAATCATGCAAAATCAACATTTTTATTACAATTCATTGTTATATTGATTTCAATTAGATTGAAATAACTCCAAATGTACAGTGGTGTGTGGGGAAGTGATCGTTGGACTAATGTTTTTTCATCATGCTTATAATAAAAAAGAAATTATAATATATGTCCTTAGATATTGTATGACAATGGATTAATATTTCTTCTAAATATACATGTTTCTTCTGAAATTTCGATATCTTTATTTTTAAATGTTTCGGTAGTGGTTACTCATGAAACTTAAAGATAATAGTGTCTAGGAATTGGTCACTTTATTAATGACGATTAAGCCATATTATCATCCTTATGCATCATGTTATTAGTTTTTTCTGATGCAATGACCACTATGATGATAATTGTTTATTTTATCTAAATATCATATTTGAATATAATTGTCTTATAAACCAACGCAATATATGAATAGCTTGTGAAAGTATCGATATTATGTTATTTCGCTATGTGAAAGCTCTCCGTGCGTTGCACGGGATAGCCTGTGCTAGTTGGTCTAATAGCAGGACACTCATGCATATAATAATGAAAAAAGGACAATCATCATATCATGGTGGGATGGTGATCAAATTAATAAATTAAAAAATTGAGCATGACTCATAATTTTTTCCCAAAAACTGTCATGTAAAAATGCACAATGTATGAACAGTCAAATGAGATTCTAAGTCATTATAATACATAATTTTTATCAAAAAATTAATTAAAAGAAGGGGAAATAAGATTCAGATTGTTTTTTTAAATTAAATTATATTTTAAAACTGTAAAAAAAAGTTTGTACATTCTTCACATGTCTTTCTCCGAAAAAGACTAACCAGCCTCGCCCGGCGGCTGTGTGACTTAATGCGTCTTGTTTCACGCGTTTGCGATTGAGTCGAGTCCAACGCCACGTGTATGGAGGCATCAGGATCATTATGTCTGATGATGACCAACGAACTAACTCTAGTGGAAGAGATTAGCCAGTCAGCAAACCAAAGTTTAAATAGAGATATATTCACATTTATTATTTGAAAGTGACTCGAATAGGATTTCCTCTAGTAGGACAATGCCTATGCATTTGTAGCAAAATATATATATATATATATATATAAGATATGAAAATGTTTTCTCAGCAATTAGCATGGGATGAAATTAGACCCTACCATATGGAACCAACCGGTGTTTATTATATTTGCAAGAGCTATCACTGCTTAATTAAGGAGAGTTCGAGTTTAAGCTTGCACGAATGCAAAAGATATATACTTCTAGAAAGAGCTATACCCTTTTGGGAATCGACCCAACTCGAATTTGGATTCGTCATTGGAGTTTTTTCCGTTGAAACAATCTAAGGTAAAATTTATAACCAAACAACATAAGTACTACACATCCAACGTTAACACACACAAAAATATACTCTACTACTCTTTATTTATTAGCTCCACTAGTGTAGGCTATTTATTTTATCTATGCTCATCGAAAACTTGAGTCCTAATTATGAGAACCTCCCATGCAAATACATACACATACACACACACACACACACACATACATATATATATATTTCAAAGTTGCTGATAAAGCTCAAACGAAAGACGAGGCTTGATCATAACTTGAAGTGGATGAAGCTTAGGCAAAGCCACCCCTAAGCCTTCGCTCATTTCCACTGCAACACCGCCAACCTTGGCTGCCGGCGCCGGCGCCGACAGATCAAATCCTTGAAGCAACCGAGCCAGCGTCAAGCTCACGACTTGAAGCCCAAAGGTGGTTCCTGGGCACGACCTTCTTCCTGAACTAAACGGAATGTACTCGAAGTTCTGACCCTTAAAATCCAAATCCTTATGATCCTCCTCCATGAATCTCTCAGGCAAGAACTCGTTAGGGTTTTTCCATGCTTGTGGGTCCCTTTGAAGCTTCCAGATGTTGATGAGAAGACGAGTGCCTTTTGGGACGAAGTAGCCTCCGACGAAGCAGTCTTCCATGGCTTCTCTGATTCCAGTTAATGGAGCTGGAGGATAGAGACGAAGGGTCTCTTTGATGATGGCTTGGAGGTATTGAAGGTTCTTAATGTCAGATTCTTGGACCCATTTGTGTGTTCCTATGTTGGTGTCGAGCTCGTCTTGTGCTTTTTTAAGGACATTTGGATGGTTTAAGAGCAAAGATAATGCCCATGTCAGGGTTATTGCTGTGCTTCCGGTGCCCGTAAGGATCAGATTCTGCAAATTAAAACAAAAAAAAAACCATTAGCATGTGATAATTTAGTGTTTATTGTTGTTTTAGAGAGATCTATCAAATATCATTTTCTAGGATTAACTAAATTATTTGACTTTTCTTAATCAAACCAAATTAATAAAATAGCTCTAAATTAACCACGCAATCTTTTTCATTTTCCATCTGATCAGTGATAACTCATGGATCATGACGCGGCAATTTCCTATTTTTACACACGAAATATGGAACCTACTTATTATTATTATTATTTAAGAACTCGTTTTCCACGCAACTGCCCAAGGGAGACAAAACTATGTTCATGATTCGACGTAAAGATGCTTGTTTCGTGGATATAAACGCTGGTTGAAATATTTGGTCAAAACTTGTGCTCGCAAAATCTCGTATCCTTAAATAACCAATTATGAAATATTAAGAAAACAGTTAAATTGACTAAGCATAACAAATATATGCATGCTTTCCTAAATTATTTGTTAATTAATCATGTGCTCAAAGTTGAAATAACTATTGAAATAACTACTTCTTGATGAGACACCTTACTATTAATGAGAATATTTTGAGAAAAATAAACTATAAATTTAGAAAACAAAATAAATTAAGGTCTTATATCTAAAACACAATCGAATTTCTAATTAATTCTTATATTAAGAACTAGATGTAGTAATGCACAATGAAATTTTATACCATGTTACATGAATGTAATATTGGCAATTAAGAAATATATACTATTTATTATTACGAAGTACCCGTGAAGAAATTATCAGTATATATGTTAGGTAAAAGAATAATCTTTTTCTTAAAAATAATCAATTTTTTAAGCCTGAAAATTTAAAAAAAAAAAAGGTAGAAAGATGTAATGTGTTATTTTTTTTACCGTTTAGGTGACAACTGCCAACTTTTTTAACACTTCTAAAGTAAAAGTAATATCGAGCCAAAAAAAACAAGAAGAAGAAACTTTCCGACGCCATAGTTGCTTCATGAATACTTCCGATGCAAAAATCACCTTAACTCTTTCTTATCATATAACTCCCTGATTTTTTGAAAGAATCATTTTATGAGATATTTTAATTATATAATGAAGTAAAGATGGGAATTGATTGGTCCAAGAATATAATAGTAATAAAGAGGGAGGAAGTCATATACCAAAGCAGTGGCCTTGATAACGACGTCGCGTTGATGGCCACAAATGAGAGCATCCTGATCGGAGAACATGGAAATGAGGACGTCCATGAAATCAGAATGGTCTCCATCAGAATGAGCTGTTGTGGTCTTGTGAAGGTGCTGGTGAAGCCACAGAGACAGCACTGAGTCTACGTCCTTGGCCGTTTTCTTCATGGCCCTCACATGTCCCTGCAAGTCCACCCACTTGTGCCACTTTAACGGCAGCGCGTCCGCCTCCACGAACACTCCGCTCAGATATGTCGCCTCCTTCACCGCCCTCTTCAACCTGAACGCCTCCCCTTCTTCATCAGTTAGGGTTTTCTCATCCCCTGATGATGATGCAATGAATAATTTTGCTTTCAATTAGTGAAGCAAGGTCACAAACGAGAAAAAACCCGCCATCTCTTATTCGTAAAGGAGTTTTGACTAGACTACAAGATTATTGACAAATGCATGCAAGCAAACAGGATTGAACCCATAACCTTCCATCTATAGAAAAGTTTTTATGAACCCATAACCTTTTATTTACAGAAGAGTTTTTGATGTAGCGCTAGGAGTAAAGTTTGACCAGGCAAACGCTGTCAGACTTAACTAAGAGGGTGTTTGGCTATTACAAAAGTAGTTTTTAAAAGCATTTTTTTCGTAAATTAAATAAATTCCTCCACATATTTACTTTTTATACCATAAAATCACTTTTAAAACTATTGTTTGATTTTCATCCAAACACTTTTTAATTAAGTTTGATATCATACCAAGCACTACTTGCTACCTAGCCTGCTAGATGCATGCTATTGAAGCCACTTTTTGTGCTAGTGAGAAGAAAGAGGGATACGGAATTAATTAGTGCAAAGGACTTGGATTGGTGGGAATAATGAAGAGCCATATATACAGCAGTACCTGAGAATCTCTTGCCGGCAATAATGCGGACGTTGATATTGAAGGTCAAGTGCTCTAAGAGCTGACTCATAGGCACCTCAACCATATGATCATGATGAGTAATGTTCTTATTGTGTCGTTCATAGGTTGAAAACAAATCCTTCACAAGACATAGTATCTCGGAGTCTCTCACGTGCTTCAGTTTCTGGAGCCTGTGCGATGAGAGCAGCTCCAAAGTGGCTATCTTCCTCATCTCTCTCCAGTACTCCCCATACGGTGCCAGCGCAAATATCGCATTGTTATACCCCATGTACCTCCCTGCCCACCACAATTACACACCTTTTGTTTAGCCATGGAAGCTCTTATAATCTCGTTTCAACCACAAAAAATGCCTATAAAGTTTATCGATTATGCCAGCGTTAAAAAAAGGGCGTAAACAAGTCAAAATTTAGAAACTGAGATATAAATATTATCATAAAGCATGGTCCTCTATATATTGTGATATTTCAGCACTAATAAAGTGACTGGGGGAAGGTATACCTGCGGCGATGTTGGGCCTGGTGGCGAAGATTTTGTCGAAGGTGGAGAGGCATTCTTTGGCGAGTTCTCTGCCGGAGACGATGAGAGTGTTGTGAAAGCCGAGCCTGAGGGAGAAGATGGGGCCATGAGCTTCGGCCATGGAAGAGAGAGTCCTAAAAACTGGCACACCACCGCCCAGAAGATGGAGGTGACCTATTAGAGGCAGCCCTCCTTTGGCTTCTGGGGCTTTCTGCTTCTGCTGCTGCTTCTTCTTCTTCTTCTGATGACTCGTTGATCTAACAATGAAAGCTACCAATAGTAAAAACAAGAGAGCCCACGCTAGTCCTCCTCCTTTAGATTCAGAACTACCGTGAGCAGGAAAAAGAAGGAGAAGATCCATAATGTTGGTACAATAATAATGAGAGAGACTGTGGTTATGTTTATGCCTGGACAGCTCTTCTGCTTCAACTTGCAGCTCTATTTATGCACATCCCTGGGATATTAAAAAAAAAACCAAAAAACTAAAAATCATGCTTTTGACTTGGCTTAAAAATATTCTTACCATTTTTTTGTCCAAAAAAAAATTCTTACTATATATATACACACACCCGCACATTACCTATATTTGTCAGCAGTACAACCGATTGAAAAAATTGGATTAATATGATCTTTAGTCAGGTCAGTAATTTTGGTTTTGGTCCTGAGATTTAATTTCATTTTGATTCATCTAAATTAAAGGTTTTTGTCCTTATAACAGTGTTTTTTATATATGAAACAAATATCAAAACCAAAATAAAGATAAATTTCAGAAACTAAAACCATTGATTTTAAATTTTAGGGACCAAAATTATTAACTTCAAATTTTAGGAACTAAAATTAAAATGAGATTAAATTTCAGGAATTCAAAATAGTATCAATCCAAAAAAAATTAATAGATTAATTGATTTCACCACACATGCATATCGTTGGATTTACATAGGATGCACTTCAAAAAAAAATCCTACCCCTCTCCATTAATGGAAGAACTTGATAACTAATTTAAAAATATTAAAAAAATTAGTTAAGTTATTTATTTGTTATAAATATGTATTTATCTCTCTAAACTATCATTTTCAATCATGAGCAATGTAACTATATCTTTTATGAGAATTCCTTACCATTAATAGCATTTTTGGGGGGAAATTGAAGGTGAAATTAATTAAAATTTTATATTTAGGAGAAGGGAAAATGACATAAAAAGAAATTGAAAATGGCAATACTCCAATCCAGGCACCTAAGAGGTCAAAATCATAGGAAAGAAAGTGATATCTGATCTAGTATTTTACAAATATAGTCAAATGACTAAAATGCTCTTGTATCAGGTTTTTAAAAAAAAATAAAACTATCAAACTTGTTATTATCAATATATTTCTTGTTATTGATTATTCAACACTTGTCATTGTCACTTCACAATTTATTACTCTTACAGTTCTAAATATAAAACCCATTTTATATTGTCATTTTATAGTGTAAATTACACTATAAAATGAATCTTATATTTAAGATCAGAGTAATAATAAATAACTTATCATTATCAGTATATTTATTATCATTTATTGTTTAACATTTGTCATTGATAGTTCACAACTTGTTAATATATAACTTTTTTTATATAAAGATATATTTATCATTTAACTAGATTTACAAAATATCAGATCAGGTATCATTTTCTCTCATAAAATTTTTACCTCTAAAATAGCTAGGTTAAAATATTACAAATCTTAACTTCTTTTTGAATTATTTTGCCTTGAGAGAACTTCCAACTATTTGTGGCACAAATTTTGATTTGGACAATTTAATTTCTTTCACTCACACACCCACCCTTATTGTAACCACTCAGAGCACAGAAACCAATAGGAGGCTGTCAGGTTTGGATCAAAGTCAAAAAGTGTGGGGCCGCAATCGATTAGGACCGTATGGAATAATGGAAGACAGTCCATTCATTTTTATAAAGGATAAGTACAAGTGTAATTTTGTTTTGTGAAAAACAGTTTGTTTTTATATAAAATATTTATTGCCTTTCTTATTTACTTACGTCTTTATTAAAAGAAATACGTGTTGATATTTTTTTGTGCAATCTCCTTTTAACAAAAAATTTTGCCTACTTAAATTAGACTACCGATACTTTATATGTATAAAATTTTTTCAGATACAAAAATTTATCAGATCATTTTTATCAATAAATTTTTAATGGGAGATTTTTCCTTTGGAAACAAAAAAAAAAAAGATGAAGGGAGTATTTAATATTTGTCACCAACCGATTTTTTGGAACTTAGCTCTGTCCTGGCAATTTTGATTACTATTAATCTTTCTTTTTGCCAAGATAGATCATTATTAATGTTAGGGGGTGTTTGGATAGAAATCAAACCATGGTTTCAGAAGTGCTTTTACGGATTACGAAGTAAATATGTGGAGGAGATTATCTCGTTTTGCGGAAAAGTGCTTCTGAAACCATGGTTTTGGGTTTCCCAAACACCCCCTTATACTAACTTCGATCCTTAATACAAGGTCCAGTTGACTAATTTAAAAATTTTTTAAAAAAATTAAAAAAATATTTAATCATATCATATGTTACGTGATTTTTCTAAAATACATTTATACTACTTTATAATTTACACAAATTAATTTAAAAAATGATGAATATAAATATTTAAAGATTATAATTTTCTTAATTTTTTTAAATTAGGTGGTTCTTATATAAGCATTGAAGTAGTACAATGTATATAAGCTAAATATTAAGATAGAAGTGGCGCTGTTATTAACCGGAAATAATAAAAACGAATGGAAGATGCCAAATCCATTCAACGCCATGTGGTAAAGGAGTTCAGACGGTCAAAGGCGTCCACGTTTAAAGAACAAGGTTTAAAAAAAAAAAAAGGCCCAACTAATCTATATTCAATTAATCAAGGTAATGAGGAGATTGACCGAATAATTAGTTATAATTAAATTAATAAATTAAAAAAACCCGCAAAAAAATTCTACTTTTTTTCATAAATATCGTAATGTAAAATTTTAAATGCATGAATATTGAAATTACAATATTTTGGATTCAAAGTCACTACAATATTTTATTATTTTATCGAAAATTATTTATTTCTATGAAAAATACAAATAAAAAAAATAAGAAGAAGCAAAGATTCATACTATTTAATTTATATCCAAAATAAATGAAATTTGTACTTTTCACGTATCTCTGAGTCTTTCTCAGCAGCCCCATGTGAAAAGAACCGGCTTCGGTGCTTGTCATGGTGTCACTATAACGCGTAACGAACTGATTCCATAAATAAGTCCAAACGAAGGTGTGACTCACATTTTCTAAATTAATGTTAGAAAAATCACAAATAAAAAACCTGAAAGTTATATAATTTCATAAAAAGTACTTGAAATCAACCAATCCAGTAATCAATTTCAAAATGGGATTTTCAAATTCAAACAAGAAGACAAATACACACCTTTTTTTTTGTTTGGGGGGGGGGGGGGGTTCAACAACCCTCTCACTAAAGATCCTGCCAGCAGCCCCCGGCCACGAGCTCCACGACCCCGCCAATGGGAGGAAAATTCCAGCGGCCGATGGGAGGGGTGTTTTTTGGAAAGTAATTACTCTTATTTAATGAATTCCAATCAAAACCCCATACGCGGGATGTGAATAACTTTGTTCAACAAAAGTTATTACTAGTTTCAGTTCTTATTATAAGATCTTATTTAATTTTTATTTTGATTGTAAATATAAAACTTCAATATACTTTGTCTATTATATTTATGTATTTTTTTCAGCATAGTCATTCTAATAATAGTAGTTTTAACCAGTATACTTAATTAGTAAGAATATTTTAGGAAAGACAATACCTATTCATTACAAATAACTAACTTAATTTATTTTCTTAATTTGATCAAATTAGTCAACTAACTCTTATATTTAAGACTGGAGGTAATAATATTTAATGAAGTGTAATCAAAATTAATGCAAAAGTTATGAACTACATTGCTAATAGAAATAATATCTAATAACATATAATCAAAATCAGTATTAAAAGTTGTATATGACCTGAATGAGTGACATTCCTAAACTTCAAACGAAAATAACAATTTCTAAATGTGTATTATCCATTTCAAAATAAAAATTAACAAGTTGCAATTTTGGCATCAAAACATGTGAAAATAGGGGGGGTCATGTTTTAAAAAAAATGCTCAGCTCCTAAATTTCAGCTGGTAATAGTAAGTTTTCAATTTATTTTATGAATTTCGAAATACAAAATATAAATGGGTTGTATTTAAATAATACACACGCCTCAACATAATGTGAAAAAAGTATTAATATCGTTGGTTAAAAAAGAAGTAAAAAGCATTAATATCAATATATACATTAGGTCATATTATTTGTAACTTATAAACAATATAATTCATAGCTTAAATTATTTTAAATTCATAATAAAATATATTTATTTCTTTTTTCAAAATAAAATACATTTATTTGACTGTAATAATCAAACACGCCAGATTACTCATTAAAAATGATAATATTTACCTATAAGAGCCTTATTTTTTAAAAAATTTCATCATTATATTTCTAACCATATGTGAAGCATAATTAATCTAATTGTCTTGAAAAAAATATTTTATACTCTTCAAGTATTTTGATTTTACGCAGCTAACGTGGCAAATCATAAAAATTAGACTGGGGGTTTAATCCTACCACTTTAAAAATGAGACTAAAATAGTTAAATTAGTAATATTCTCGATATTCAAACCTATGAAAGGAAAAATTTAAAAAAAAACGATCATCAATATATTATTTTTGACCAGAGGATCATCAATCAATATATCAAGAAACATCCAAATGAGAGGTAGGTATGGTATGAATACTATATTTTTTTTCTATCAATTATACGAATAATATTCAAACGCGTCTTTTGGGTCAACGATGTGTCTATTCCAGCCTTAATTGCCTATAGACTCACCATCAAAATATCCTTAAAAAAATTTATTGGCCAGAAATTTATTTAAAAAATTACATTCACTCCATTAGTTTAAATATGTATTAAAAATAAATATATATAATATAAAACCCAAAATTTTATGTACAAAACTAGAAACACAAGTATTAATAAGGACTTCGGCTCACAAGCGGATTTGAATCTTTTTAGAATCCCACCTTCTTAAAAATAGATGGTTCGAATTTAATATTTATAAAAAAATAATGCCTACTCTCTTATCACTATTTATGTAATATAATAATAGTAGTGTTTTGAATTATTAAATCTAAGTCCTCTTTTTTTTTTTTAATCTAATGGTAGAAATGGAATTCTGAGAACAAAAGTGGAGGGGGATTTTGAGAGAATCTCCTTTCATCGTATACCTGTTTATTTTTTCCTTAGTTTTTTTAAAATTTAAAATTAGTACATGTAAACATAATATAT